TCACCTGTTGCTTGGTTTGAACTGCAGCAGATCGTCTTGACCATGTCTACATGACTAAATGCATTGAGTTGCTGCCATGTGATTGGTTGATTAGAAATTTGCGTTAACAAGCAATTGGACAGCTGTACCCAATAAATTATTATTACCAATTTCTGTTATGTAAAAACCTGTAATTTCTACACATGTTAAAGCTGTTCCATGTTTAAGTCAGGAAATTCCAGCATTCCTAAAAGATAGCTCGCCCAAAACTGAAATTTCTTTCATCTTTTACTCACCCTTTTCTCATCACAAACCTGTTTGGAGTTTTATTTTTTTTTTTTTCATCTTAAGTTTTTTGTAGTTTCATCTCTACAAAAGAAAATCCTTTGAAAAGTGCTGAAAACCAGTAAACAATGACTTCCTATTTGATTTTCCTACTATGGGTGTGAGTGGTTACTGTATTCAAACATTCTTCAAAATATCTTCTTTTGTGCTCAACAGAAAAAAAGCCATAAAGGTTTCAAGTGAGTATATTTAGATTTTTGGCTGAACTATCCCTTTACACAGGCAGTTCTGGCACCTCCATCTGGCCACTTTAAGTTTCATGGGCATTACAGTTTCTCAAAATGTACTCATTGGCCACTTTATTAGGTACATCAATTAAATTGCCTTATTCATTCATTCATTTTCTTTTCAGCTTTGTCCCTCTATTAATCTGGGGTCACCACAGCCGAACGAACTTATCCAGCATGTTTTATCCAGCAGCGATGCCCTTCCAGCCGCAACCCATCACTGGGAAACATACATGCACACTCATTTACACACACACACTCATACACTAAGGACAATTTTAGCATGCCCAATTCACCTATACCACATGTCATGGTGGAAACCTGAGCACCTGGAGAAAACCCATGCAAGCACGGGGGAAACATGCTAACTTCATACAGAAATGCCAACTGACCCAGCCGAGGCTCGAACCAGTGCGCTTTTTGCTGTGAAGCGAACGTGGTAACCACTGTGCCACCACATCGCCCAGTTATGTTGCTTTTTAAAGCAAATATCTAATCAACCAATGACATGGCAGCATTTAAGCATGATGTAGTCATGGTGATCTGCTGAAGCATCAAAATGAAAAAGAAATGTGACTGAAGAGACACAGGGTGCTTCTCAATTATTATTCTTGCATTCTCGTTCCCTTTATATTATTTTAAACTACAGTTCACGCCATTAACAAAAAATTAACTAAGACTTTTACCTCAATAAACTACTAATTAGATGCGTATTAATAGTTATTAAGTTAGAAGTTGGGTTTAGGTATTGGATAGGATTAGGGATGTAAACAAGATCATACTTTATAAGTGCTAATAAACAGTTAATATCTTAATAATAGACAAGTAATAAGCCAGTAGAAAATACTCTAAATTATTACTTTAACTAAAGTGTAACCGATATTATAATTTCAATTTCAAAGGAGGAAACAGGCAGATCACAATACAGGCACATGCACAGACACCAGTTTCCTTTTTATGGAAAAGCAAAGAGATTCATTTTATTTAAATAATTATTAGTAATGTACCTTTAACAGACTACATTAAACTTCAAGCGTTTTCAAGCATTTCCAGAACCCATGAGAATCGGTGGACTGTGTCATAATAAAAGCTCTGCTGCTTTTGTGCCATGTCGCGCTCGTCTCTAATCAGCAAAGGGATACATGCACAGCAAGGGTTTCTCAGACACTGACAATTTTAGGTTTGTGGTGATTTTAAATTTATAAGACCCCTTTTACAGCATCGATGTTGTAATGCATGTAAAACATTTTAGTTGTTCAGGCATAAAATGAGATAAGAAAAGTCATAAGAAGCAGCAGGCGAGCTCTGAAAGTCCATTGAAAATACTAGGGTAAAATAAATTTCCACATTTTAAAGACATGGAGCAGAACAATAGAATTTCATGCAGTTTGATCCGAGACCATTTTATATTTTATATCAATCAAGCAGTGAAGATCACTGATTTTTAAAGAAATCAGATCTGAAATGTGGCTATTTTGTAATGTAATTTGCATGACAGTTCACCAGGACTGATTGAGCTGGCTTACTGAAAAAAAAAATCTGTAAAAACAAATCTGCATATTTCCTATTGCTTTAACACTCCAGTTTTACTTTGACAACTTTTTATTACCATGATAATATATAAATATATAAACATAATATATAAATGTAATAATAATTATCCGCTAGCACATTGTCTGTTTTCATACATTTTCGTTTTCCATTCTAGTTTAATTTAATAAGAGTTCCAGATCTTCAAGGAATCTTGTGTCATTTCAGAAAGCATATTACACCTACACTGGCTGACCTACAAGACAACATGCAAATAAAGTATATAAAAAGAATGGTTTCTTTAAGATTTTGTCTTCATTGCAAACAGATTTGTGCCTAATGAGGAGCAGATTATGGTATGATTCTGGTTTAAATTAAACAGCAGGCATTAAGAGCTGTGGGAGGCACACACTAATGTATTTTCCATGTTTTACTAGAGTGTTTCTAATGTGTATCAGAAATACAGCACTCGTTAAGTTTTAATAAAACTATACATTTTAACAAATAAACCACAAATCAAAGTTGAGCCCAAAATACCTCAGCTTTCTCTGAAAGTGTTCATAATCTGCCTGAAAGGCTTCTTGTATACTGTAATTTCCATACAACATGCTTACTGTTTAAAACTCAAACACAAGAAAGGTGTGCATTGTGCAGCGTTTCTGAAACAATCTATTATTACACGATAACATAATGGATAATTCACAGTGGTTTCTATAAATGCTGTTCCAATTAGTGATAATTGCCCTTTAATAGAATACAGCTGAGCGTATGCTTTAGATTTATGTCCTAAGCCTCAAAACAATGATGTTATTAATAAATATTTGGGTGGGATTTCCCCCGTGGGCATTAGTGAGCAGTGTTGTACATGACAGAAGATGAATTGATCAGAGGTAGAACTCGAATGCTTGTCACATTCACAAATAAATGAACTCCAACGTTGGATAAGCAAAAATCCTGTTCATTATTCTCAATACTAACACACACTTATACACGTTCTAAAGACGATACAGTATGTAGCGATAAAGAAAATTCTATCATTATCATTAAAATTAGTATTCATAAGTTTTAACGAAAGTTTTATAATGTAAAACTCTATAAAATGAATAGCCTGCATGATTATTGGACAACATATGACATATTTCATTCATTCCATGAAGATGTATTCACCTCTAGGGTTCTTTTGCCACCTTGTGGACAAAAACATTACAGCAGGTAAATAAAACTGAAGTACAAGCACCGGACACTTTATAAGGTACACCTGTCCAACTGCCGTTAACGCAAAATTTCTGATCAGCCAATCCCATGGCAGCAACTCGATGCATTTAGGCATGTAGACATGGTCAAGACGATCTGCTGCAGTTCAACCTGAGCATCAGAATGCAAAGAGGGGTGATTTAAGTGACTTTGAACGTAGCATGGTTGTCGATGCCAGACAGGCTGGTCTGAGTATTGCAGAAACTGCTAATCTACTGGGATTTTTACGTGCAACCATCTCCAAGGTGTTAATTGCCTGAAATAGAGAAAATTTCCAGGGAGCAGCAATTTTGTGAGCGCAAATGCCTTGTTGATGCCTGAGGTCAGAAGAGAATGGTCAAATTGATTCGAGGAGGTCATAGAAATGCAACAGTAACTCAAATAACCACTCGTTACAACTGAGGTATGCAGAAGAGCATCTTTGAACAGACAACACGTCCAACCTTGAGGCGGATGGGCTACAGCAGCAGAAGACCACACCAGGTGCAACTCCTGTCAGCTAAGAACAGGAAACATAGGGTACAATTCACACAGGCTCACCAAATATTATTATGCCCACAGTGTGTCCATCTTCTGATGGCTACTTCCAGCAGGATAATGGGTCATGTCATAAAGCATGAATCATCTCAGACTGGTTTCTTAAACATGACAATGAGCTTACTGTACTCAAATGGCCGCCACAGTCACCAGATCTCAATGCAATAAAGCACCTTTGGGATGTTGTGAAACAGGAGATTCGCATCATGGATGTGCAGCCGACAAATCTGCAGCACTTGCTTGATGCTGTCATGTCAATATGGAGCAAAATCTCTGAGGACTATTTCCAGTACTTTGTTAAATCTATGCCACAAAGGATTAAGGCAGTTTTGAAGACAAAAGGGGTCCAATCCGGTACTAGTAAGGTGTACCTAATAAAGTGGCCGGTGAGCGTATGGAATCAGTTTCTTCTTTAACCGCACAGATGCAGTTTTTAGGCATTTAAGCATTATTTTTAACTGGGTTAGATTTATATATTTGTCTAGATTCATCAGACAGCAAGTAATTTTAGGAAAATAAGAATCTGATGTTTGATAAGATTCTATGGGCATCCATCAAGGCTCAGTATTTGGACCCTTCCATTTTTTTTCCCTTTAAAATGTATATTAACTGTCAATATACTGAAACTGCAACCATATTGCTTTTATAATAAATGCATTTCTTGGATAAAAATCCTTGATGGCTAATCATTCTCTATGTTTAAATGGTGATAAAACAGAGATTACACTTATTCACCAGCTCTGTTTATGTTTGATGTATTGCTGGTTTTGACTACAGAAAATGTTATTACTGACATTTCACTTACTAAGGCTGCATTTATTTGACCAAAAATAGAATAAATGCAGTAATATTGTAAAACATCACAATTGTTTTTGTTTGTTTTGCCATTGTAGAAGCAAAATATTTATATTAAATATGCTTTTTTACTTTCAGGATTCTTTGGTTAATTTTTAATACATTAATATTTACAATAAAACAGTAAGAAGAGCATAAAACAATCTTTTGTAACATTATACACATCTTTAGTCTAACCTGTACTCATTTTAATGCATAATTTTTCATAAAAAATCTGCAGTGTGTATTACTTGGTTTCCATTTCAAGAATCTGATTCAGTTTTCCAGACAATGTACAATTAAAAAAAACACTTTTATTTAAAAAGCTGCTTTGAACAAGACTTGAAATATATTATATAATACAATTCTTTGTTTTTACAAACATTCTGATTTGATTTGACTGATTCCACAATAAATAGCGTGTATTTAAGTTTATTTATATGCGGAACAGCTTTTATGATGTGCGTTTTAAAAGCCTTAAGCATCATGCAAGATCAGGTGACCAGATGCAACTGCTCACTCTGACACTGCATTCACGCTAATCAGTAACTAGTTACAATGTATCAAATCAAGATACAGAAATATCCGTTCATAAAGAACATTTGTTCTGTTCAGAAAATGATATGAACAGAAAACATGTCAGACACGTCTTTCATATGAAAACAATTATGTATATATGAAGAAAAAAAGCTAGTGGTTCCTGAAAAAAATTGCACATCATTTTGGAAAAATATAAAGAGTAGCTCATTTCCAGAATGATTGGTCACCATTGACTTCCACTTCCAGTTGATGAACACCATTGACTTTTGTATTTTGTTTTGTCAGTGGTAACCAATAAATGTTCAGATCCCAACATTTGTTTCAAAATATTTTCTGTTGTGTTCAAATCTCACTCCCTTAATATAAATCTTGAAATGACAACACATGGCCTTATGTCCTTGATTTAAAACATAATCTTCCCTTTTTGTCTTCAAAGAATTCCCTTAGATGTGTTTATTTCAACCATCTCCTGAAATGAAAACATGCACTTTGCATTGACAATTCCATTAAAACCTCTGTAGTTTTGCAGTCCTTTATGATACAGTAAGTGCTTTCTGTAAATAAATTCCCTTAATGTCATGATTTAAATATTTGAACTCAACATATAATCATAAATAAAAACAATTGACAAATAATAAAAATACCAACAATATAATAATGTTAGTCCCTTTATGAAGCGTGTCTATAAGACTGCTGGGTTTAGTGAAAACACATAAATGCAATAACAAAAACTATTTTAAACTAGATAATCTGAGCACATCTTTGGCTCTCAGTGAACACAAGATGAACCTTGAAATTCCCTTATATGTGAAGATATAAGTGCTCTATGACTTTACTGGCATACATTTGCCTGTGTGAAAGATTATCCTGATCTAACCTTCACCACTGGGATGGAAATGTCAACCAAAGTGTCTCTGCATGGGATCTGAAGAGTTTCTGCTGTGTGTTCAGTTGACTGAAGGCTGTTCGGAGCTCTCTGAATCCTCATCACTTTCCATCAGTCCAGCCACTTCTGGAAGATCTACAGAAACACAATGTGGAGAAACACATTTTAGATGTGACAGTTTATTAAAAAAGAAAAGCACAACAGCAACATTTATTGTTTGTCTGTTTTTTTTCCACCAAGGGTACATTGCATTGACAAGAAATTTAAATATATATATTTTAATATTAATATTTAAATTTAACAAATTAAAAATAATTTATTAATTCTGGAGAAAATCTAAATCATGGTTTCCACAAAGGCATTCAGAAGCACTACCTCTTTTTACATTTATAATAGCAGGAAATGTTTTTTAAGCAGAAAATCTCTATTTTTGAATTAAGGCTGCGCAATCGAACACTGCGATATTTTGTTATTCTGCGATATAAATTGCGGCAAAAATCCAATTTTACCTGAAGACGTGAATAGCTCTCTTTGGAAATAATTTATCATTTTAGATTAATTTTGACAATTTTGTATGGGAGTGTGCATCTGTATAAAATAAAATAAACAATCTTCAAGCATAGCTAAAAACAATAATGAAAAGGTCTAAATGTGTTTTTCCATATTGTTTGGAATAGTGTAACAGTACAGGTGTACAGTAACTGAATAATCATTCATTCATTCATTCATTTTCTTGTCGGCTTAGTGCCTTTATTAATTTGGGGTCGCCACAGCGGAATGTACCTCCAACTTATCCAGCAAGTTTTTACGCAGCAGATGCCCTTCCAGCCGCAACCCATCTCTGGGAAACATCCACACATACAAACAAACACTCATACACTACGGAAAATTTAGCCTACGCAATTCACCTGTACCCCATGTCTTTGGACTGTGGGGGAAACCGGAGCACCCGGAGGAAACCCACGCTAACGCAGGGAGAACATGCAAACTCCACAGAAAAACGCCAACTTTGCCGTGCTTGCTGTGAGGCGAACGTGCTACCCACTGCACCACTGCGTCGCCCTAACTAAATAATCAAAATGTTAAAATAAAACTGAATCGTCTTCGTATAAATAATCATTGTTAAAGTTACAAACAATACAATTAGTTATGCATGACTGCTTTTAAAATCATTATACAGTAACAGGCCTCAAAAAACATGCAAATGATAAATTATAATCCAGACTCAAGGTTGTGCATGTACACGATGTGACTTTTGTGAAGAATTACATTGTGATATTGATGTTAAAATGACTTATTGTGTGGCCCTAATTAGAAAAACCTTGAAGGATAATATGTTAAATACTGCTGAAATTTTACTTATTTGCAACCACAAAAAAAAAAGATATTTCAAATAGGCAAAAGTTAAAATTCAAATAGTTAAATTGAAACAATATTTCATAATATTACCATTTTACTGTACTTTTCTTTAATAAAGGCAGTCTTGTTGAGCAGAAGAGACTGCTTAAAAGGCATTACTGATATGACATATAAATTATTTTGAAAAGGTAGCCTAAATACATGAAATCAATCTTTTATTATCTGCAATCATTAAATTCTTTAAACCCTCGAGCATCCTTCTGGCCTTTTTTTTTTTTTTCATTTGACTCTTGGTGATCATTTTGGCAGTTAATGCACTTTATGTATTTTTATAAATCTGTTTTTACACTAGGTACAAAATATAGTTCTTCTCATGACCGTTTGGACAACACATTGCCATTAAAACAACAATATTTAATCCCAGTGACATTTAAACAAAAAGTCATCATAGCTAGCAGGCTTCCATTTTGTTGGCAAAGCTCAAAATGTATTACAATTATTAAAAGTTATTTCTAAGTTGGGCTTTTGGAAAAAATCCTTGCTTTTTTCTGTTTTCTGCTTTTGAGCAATGCAGTTTATTTAAATTATGCAACTATACTTATGGCTTTGTACCAGCATAGATAGCAGTTTCTTTTTTCTGCATATACTGAGAATTTTGTAAGCGTATGAGCATCACTATTTTATGTATTATTGCAGACAAAATTAATGTTTCTAATCAGTGACATATTCAAGACTAACAATAAAATACATCGGTGTAGCCTTAAGTACATGAGGAAATTATAATTTTTTTTACCATTATACCTTTTTCTATAAAAAAACATTACAATTCTAGTACCGTCACTAGTTATCTGGACTAGTGACGATAAAGAAAAGGGTAAAAAATATTTTCTTTGCGGCTTAGACCCTTTATCAATGATAAATGATAGGGTCGCAATAGCAAAATAAACCGCCAACTTATCCAGCATATGTTTTACGCAGAGGATACCCTTCCAGCTGCAACCCATCACTGGGAAACATCCATTCACACTCATACACACACATAAACTACAGACAGCTGTATAACATGTCTTTGGACTGTGGGGGAAACCCACGCGAACAGGGGGAGAACAGACAAACTCCACCCAGAAGTGCCAACTGACCCAGCCGGGACTCAAAGCAGCGACCTTTTTGCTGTGAGGTGATTGTGCTACAGTACCTATTGCACCACCATGAAGCCCACAAAATATTATATAGAATAATATTTCTAAAATTTATTTTAATGTATTTACTAACATGAACTAATGAATATTGAACAATGAATATAACAAGTACAGCATTTATTTATCATAGTTCAACATTTACTAATGCATTATTAATATCTAAATTCATGCTTGTTAACATTAGTTGATGCACTTCGATTTAACATGAACTAACAATGAACAAATACTAATACTAATAATTTCAACTAACAATTTTCCTTTTTTTTTTTTTTAAGTTTTCTTTTCCAACCAACATTAACAAAGATGAATAAATACTGTAATACATAGATTGTACATTGTTCGATCATGTTAGTAAATACATTAACTAATACAACCTTATAGGAAAGAGTTACCAAATAATAATTAAAATATGACAGATTTATGATTATGGCACAGACATATTTGTCCTCTAATGCACAAGGGTAAAAAGAGACATCATATTCTTATTCTTTTTTTTTCTCAATCAACATATAATATCATATTTTAGGTTATTATAAACCTCATCTTCTTTACCCTCTAAACTACAATATTCAACAGACACATACCCCATATTATCATCAATTCTTTTAGGGTTGGATTAGATTAAATGACTTTTTATCATACTTTGTAATAAATATGGTTTATGCACATTCAAACCAACACAGCTAGATTCTTTCTCTCAAAAGTACAAGACGTCATGTTATGACCCCTGGTTGATGATTGATGTTGTTTATAATTGTTTCTAAGGTGAAAAAACAAATAAAAAATCACTTTTGGGTTCAGATTTTTGATTGTTAATTGGGAGGCTGACATGTGACCCTCACCCTTTGAGCCATTGCCGTTTATTGAACCGTTCATATGACCTCGCTTAGATACTGAAATACAAAACAACACGTCAGCCATGAGGAGAATCAGTCATCGAGTAACACGATTAAACACAGAAGGTCAAAGAGGAAGTGCGTGTGTAAGGAGTGTCGAGTGTCTTACAGCGCACAATCTTTATAGGCCAGATAAGGATCGTGCAGAGGCTCAGCGCTGCTAAAACGGCCACTCCACCGCTGACGATGACCATGACATAGTGGTAATACCACACACAGGCTGGACAGCAGACCATTGTGCTGGATGAGAGAGAAAACACATATTTAATAAATAAAAAAATGCATCCATACAAGAAAGCAGGCAAAAAAATACACTTACCGACAAGGGTGAAGCGTCTGAATGATCATCACTCCCAGACCATTGGCCACTTTGTCTGTGAAGCTCATCGCACCATAAACAAAAGCCCCGCTATGCTGTCAGGAGGAAAAGAAGTCAGAAACAAGTTAGAAATTTGAACATTCGTGAAGCTAGTCAGTCTGAAGTAGGCATATGATGGTCACGATAGCAATCAAATATTCTTTATTATTATGATGTTGACCTAAGCTTCAAAAAGAGAGGTTTTGTTTTAAGAGGAAAACGAACTCTACATTTGTGTGTGTGTGGCGTTATTGTACACAAATGCTCATGGTGAACGCATTTTAAATTGTAAAAAGATAATAAAAGTACAATACTGTAAGACTTTCCAATAAGCTCTCATTGGTTAGGGTTAGTACAATGTAGGGCTGCACAATGTATTTTCAGCATCAATATCGCAATGTGCACATCTACAATAGTCACATCGCATGATCTGCGATGGCATGTTAAAATTAATAAAACACAACCAAATCTAATAGTGTTAAAAATGTTATTTGTGTGTGTTTTTAAGGTCTGTGACTGTAAGATGTCCAGCGAATGTAACCCATTTGAACATAAAAAGTTTTCCACTTTAACAAAGATGAATTGTGTTTAATTATTTAGTTAATGAAGACTGTACGTTGTAGTTTTACATTTGACTGTTGAATTTCTAAAACCATCATGCCCTGTTTTATTTCATTTTTATCTTTGTTCTATTGTTTTCCTCTATGACTTAATTGATTTTATTTTGTACATTTTTGTATTTTACACAGATGCACTTTGCTACAAAGTCACCCCAATCAATGTCAATGCAACCGTAAAAGCGTGACCAAAAGGGATTGTATTTTTCAATATTGGCATTTTACAGGATTTCTGCAGATTTCATCACATAAAATTTAAGACTTTTTAAGACTCTTTTAAGACAATCATGAATGAAATTTAAAACTTATACAGAGCTAAACACTAAGGATTTTTTTCTAATGGCTCTGTGTTTTTTTTTTATTGCCACAACAGCAAAAAAAATCTAATTGAGTTATTTCTGAGTCACATATTTTAATGTCAAAACAAGAAATATATAATTTTTTCAATATAATACTGCTTTTTTTTAAATGACAAGCTTAACATTGTTAAAAAACATATTTTTAATGGACACGATTACATGAATTATCAAATATATATATGAATGGGTTGAGTAGAACTCCTATTCAATATAATGATTTTCTGTTACGAAACCTCGCCTATTCCATGTTTATTTATAAATATTATGTCCGCTACCCCTTACTTCTGTAAATAGTGCTCTATAATTATCTTGAGGAATTTTTAGTTTTCTTTCCCTGATTAGAGAATGAAATTTGGACAATATATATACTGCGAGTATAAACAGATGAAGTCAGAATCATTAGCCCCCCTTTGATTTTTTTCTTTTTTAAATATATCCCAAATAATGTTTAACAGAGCAAGGAAATTTCCCTGTATGTTTGTTAATATTTTTTCTTCTGGAGAAAGTCTTATTTGTTTTATTTTGGCTAGAATTAAGGTCAAAATTATTAGCCCCTTCCAGCTAGATTTTTTTCGATAGTCTACAGAACAAACCATCAAATACAATAACTTGCCTAATTACCCTAATTACCCTAATTGCTAATAGATAACCTAATTAATCTAATTAAGCCTTCAAATGTGACTTTAAGCTGTAGAGAAGAGTCTTGAAAATATCTAGTCAAATATTATTTACTGTCATCAGGGCAAAGATAAAATAAATCAGTGATTAGAAATGAGTTATTAAAACTATTATGTTTAGAAATGTGTTGAAAAAAAAATCTTCTCCGTTAAACAGAAATTGGGGGAAAAAATAAACAGAGGGGCTAACAATTCTGACTTCAACTGTACGCACGCACGCACGCACCCACACACACACACTGTAAGATGACTAAATCTCTCCAGAATATCAGACCCTAGTAATTCTTATGGAATTTCATGAGACAAGACCACAAGAATTGCTCTGCACTACTATACCGGTCTTTCTAATCTGAGAAGTGATGAAGAAACCAGCTGTTCACCTGTTATATTCAAATCATCCTGATTAAATCTTCCTGACTGTATGTCTTTGACAAAATCAGGGAAGAATGTTGGAATACACTCTTCTCCTTTCACCCCAAGCCCCCCCTTCTTGACCTTTAAGTGACTTACTGATCAGAGCACATTTCACATAAAATGTCCAAGGTTTTAATATGGTGTATAAGGCTTGCAACCTTATATTCATGTTTGGTATCATTTTAAATGTGTCTGTGTGATAGGTAAAGTGGTCTTAATTTCACTGTAACATTTCATTTGTATATGTTGATTTGGTTTTTGGCTTTTTTGATAAGATCTTTGCCAGATGCTCCCTCTCCTTAGAGATGATTACCTCCTCAAAATCACTAGGCAAGGGTCTCAGTGACAGTTTTATTGTCTTGAATTTATGGCTGGTTGTTTTGACTCGAGTATACAAGGTAAAGATGTTATATGGGTCAGGGGGGGATCTTGTAGAAAGACACCCCTTTGCAGCATCTTTAAGACTTAAGCTGCAACGTACTTCTCTGGTCAGGTATGCATTGATAATTTTTTTATTTAAATTTGAGTAATGGATGTTGTATTGTTACAGTCTCATCTCTGAATTGACTTCCTGAATGTTTCATTATGTAATTGGCAGAATTCTCCTGAAATCTTTTATATCCAGTAGATTAAGTGGAGTCTTACGCTACCTTTATGGTCTGGCATGGTTGGATTTTAATTTTAAGACACATTTGACTGTACAGAGCCATTTTGGGCATGTCAGCATGGGGATCTTTTAATCATCTACTCGCTGATTCTAGCAAGATGCATGGGCTTGGCTATTTTTTGCTATTCTTTTAGAAATGTGTTATTATTTGGCAACCGGCCTATTTGAAAATTATTTAATCCTGCACCCTCTGACTAATTTCAGAGTGTCGACAAACTGTCTGTGAGAAGATGCGCAAACCCGGGGCATGGAACTCTAAACGGCATTTGGTCCCTAATGAACGTATAACTGAAGAGTAAGGGAACAGATATAAATCAAAACTCTAAATTAAGTCATAAATGATGAATGTGATCCGTTCTTACAATTAGAAATACAGTCTAAATTTTAGAACCACTTAAATTGGAGTCAGATTAAATTTGGAGCAAAAAACGAATATAAATAAATTCTAATAAATAAAAAAATTCTTTTCAGAAGCACTAAAAAAAGACTAACATGCATTTAACCTTCTACCATGCTGTTAGTTTCGTCATTGGGCAATTAGATGGACTTCTACAATATATATATATACATACACACACACACACACACGCACGCACACGCGCACACGCACACGCACACGCGCACGCGCACGCACACGCACACACACACACACACACACAGGTGTATGTATAAATATATAATTTAAATGTATACGGTATAATATGACTGTTGGTGATTGGATGGATTTTGGACTGGTTGGGTAGCTTTACTTCGACAGAGGAAAATTAAGACCCGCTTAAAATGTTTCAAGACATCGAACACAATATTTCAGTGAATTTAAGAAATTTTAAGGCCTAAAATTTTGCTTTTTAAAATTTAGAAGACCCTGTGGACAACCTGTACAAGTTCAATTGTGCATTACTATTAAAGTTTCTAACTCACACAGACACACACACACAGAAAAACATTTGTTTGATAGCATGTGCTTGATCAATACTTACTGTCTGGTCTCCTATGAGTTCAGCCGTCATGGCAAGAGACATGACCAGGATGGTCGCAGAGCCCACTCCAAGCAGCACCGCTGCCCCATACACCTTATCTCCCATGTGTGTGTCCAGCAGCACCCAATAGGAGAACGCCAGAATCAGCAGCAGACCCAGAAAATAGGTCATCTATCATTGAGAAATAAGAAAAGTAAGTTTAATCAAAATCCTTTTCAAAAACAAAACAAAACAAAACTGTGAATTAAGAAGATTAAGGGCCTAAACTAAAGATTTAAAGGGAACCTGTATATATATTTATATATATATATATAACCTTAAACCAAATTCAATTCATTAATGAGTCTGTTAACATGTAAAGATCTTTATAGAAACTAAATATCTTCCAAATAATATTTTAAGCCCATTTATAATGTTATTTTTCAAAGTACAGTATAGTACAGTATTTTATAAATTGGGTCTTTTTACAATCAAATATTTAAATCTTCAAAAGAAATATTTATTTTAAAACACTGTAAACCCCTGCATTACTGGATTCTGTAAATTGAAAGCAAAAGAAAAAAAAATTCTAAATAAATACCAAATAAATAAATACTATACCAAAGGGATTTCTTTACCTTTGTTGTTATCAAAAGTTTATTTCAAAAGACAAAAAAGTCTTTGTGTTTTTCATATTCTCATAATCTAAATAAATAGATAAACCTTTCATACCAATTGAGAAATACTGTGCCAGTTATGTGCAGCATTTTAATATAAAGAAGTATTAAAACGTGATACTGGTAATTCTGTCAAAAGGGCAATTTTTTATTTTGTTCTCTTTTTCACATTATTTTTTGCACTACTGCTTTAAAAGAAACTGCTCACCAGAGGGGTATCCACTACCTTATTTTGAAATGTGGAAGTTATTATTTCTGTGAAGGTTTTAAAATTACAATTAATTTAACATTATGGGTAAATAAAAACAGAAATAAAATATTGCTGAAAATGGAAACAAGTAAACAGTCTAACCACTTAAACTACAAACCACTAAATCTGACACTGAAAACACATTAAATTTAAAATCTCATGATAATTAATTACCAGATTGCAACATAAAACATAAGAGCCGTTTTGAATGGCTAAAACAAATGGAAGTGAACCGGAAATCTCTGCACACTTAAAAGGATAGTTCAACAAGAAATATTTTTTTCTGTTGCATGCAAAATAATATATTTTTTTATTTTTATAACTTCCATAGTAATACTTCCATAGTTAATGCTTCATAAAAACACAAATACTTAATAAAAGCAAAAAAAAAAAGTTGATTCAACTTAAAATTGCTACACACCTTTTCTTGAGTTGACTTAAGTTACTGTACTGCACTTGACTTAATTTAAGTTAACTTAAAAAGCTCTACAGTAAATACCCTTAAAACTTTAAGTCAAGTCAACTCGAGTTAACAGTGCCAGGTTTTTCCAACATTTTTCAAAAGAACTTTTTTTTTGTTCCAAAAAAAAGTGAAGGTCAAGTAGAAGATCTTCAGTTTTGGATAAATTACAGTATCTCTTTAAATTTCACTCCATCTCTTCCTCGAAAAAACGTGGATATGACACTCCATTTGAGTATCTGAAATTGACTCCAAGTCATAAACTCTGAGCTCAAGGAAAAAAATCATGTCTCCTCAATGAAAATTACGCCTTTATGACAGTGTTCATGTGTGTTCTTGACTCATAAACATGACCACACGTACAGTATATGAGACAGCAACACTGACTGTTATCTCTACAATGTTAAACAATGGAAACACTAGGGTTCATATTTTAATCATGGGACACAAATGCACACTCATACTCACACATTTGCCTATCAGCTTGCTGACAGGCTTCATTATAAAAGAGGAAGCAAAGCCACTCAGAAACATGACCAGAGGAATAGTGGCTATGTAATTCTGCAAGAAACAAGGCAGAGGAGATTCAGTGATCACAGCCTTTATTTTCTCCATACTTGATTGTTGAATTAAAAATAGAGGGAAATATTTCATCCGTCTTACCTTTGGCAGCAGTAGTGTGTAGGTGAGATACATGGAGATGTATGTTTGTGACAGGTTTACTATCAGTCTGGTGGACATATAAAGCAGTGCAACCTGAATAAAAAAGCAGAGTTTAGAGAAGATTTGAACTTTCTCAACAGATTGTTCCTAAATGCAGTGTGTGATTAAGTGATTACTTTGTATGCTGACACTTTAACCACAAAAGACTAAAAATCACATTACATGACAAACCACTACAGCCTAGGGTGAAAGTGTGATACTTTTTGTTACAAAATATATATTATGTTTTTTCTTTTCAGCTTAGTCCCTTTATTAATCAGCAGTCACCACAGCGGAATGAATCGCCAACCTATCCAGCATATGTTTTACGCAGCGGATGCCCTTCCAGCCGCAACCCATCACTGGGAAACAAAATATACATTACAATATAAAAAATAAAGGGGTTTTCACTAGATGGCTTTAACAGTTATATTTGGAAAATATATATCACCTAGGGTCCATTTATGATACCAACATAAGTAAAAACTATGAGTATGTTAGCCCTGAAATGAGGAAAACTGGGTTTTCTGTTTCAGAATGTCAAATAGAGTAAGTCAAACCTGTTTCTTAAAGCGAGGTAACTCTTCTGAACTTTTTCTTCAGAAAAAAATGTTTCTTTTGCTCTCTGTTCCTTTTCACAATTCATTAAGGCACACTGCAGAAATGCTTTTCTTATTAAGTATTTGATCATTTTTAAAATACAAAAATTTCAAAAAAACATTCCAAACGATGCAATTTCGTTCTCAGGAATTGACTAGACTAGATTAGACATTTAACCTTCTATCCTGGGGCATTTTACTTTAATAAAACTGCCAGGGTTGTTAAAATATTATTAATAAAAATCAGAAACATCAAAATGTCAATTACCAAGTACAATCTTACAGTAGCACTGTCTTCATACAAAGTTGTCATACAAAGTTAAATACAACACTCATGATTAACCATTTCAGTAGTGAAGGTCAGGGGTTTCCAAACAATGTAGTTCATGACCCCCAGATTAACAATGCCAGTGACTCGCAAACCCCAATATCCGATCCTTTCCACATCAACTTCTGCAGGAAAGGACTGAATGGTCAGTTTTAATCTGATTCCAGGGTATTTATGACCCAAATTAATGTGCCCACAGCAATGAACAGAGACCTGGTCAGGACTTCTATAAGCTCCTTGCTTAAGACTGATGTTTTATTGTAAACTTTATACTCTCTTTATGTGTAATCCTGTTTTGCAATGTTTCCCTTACTACTGTATTAACATTTTGGTTAATACTTCTGCAATCAAGGTTTAACTCTACCGCAGCTAAACACGCTCATAAATAGCTCAAGTTTAGAGTCCTTTTGAAGCTAATTTGGTGTACTGAACGATTGTTTACATTTTACGTTAATATGAGTGCAACATATTAACATTATAAGAGACTTGAACATTTCTACCTTAGTTTGCATCAAAATGCCTATGCAAATCCCTATACGTCTGAACAAAGAGCCATAAAAACATGTCTCAGGGAAGTTAGTTTCTGATTGGTTAACTTGGCACTAAAGGGAGGATACCAACCATCTTTATAAAGCTTGTGTCCAAGGCCAACGCCCTAAGCAAGTCAAGACAAAGAGCTAAGTAAGCTAAGAAACAGAAAACCCAAGAGACCCCAAGACCTAAGGAAGAGACTTAAGCAGAGAAACCTCCAAGAAAGCAAACACCCCGGAAACCTAAGGCCAGAGAAAGGCTTGAACCCAGAGGACTCCAGGGAGCAGGCAGGGACCCAGACGAAATGGGTTAATCGCACAGCTCAGACATTCACATTTCTGATACCTTATTTTCTTTATTTACCATCGAGAGTCTAGTTAGGTTTAGTGCCTCGCAAACCAGTAGTCATCACGACTGGCCCGCTGCCACTTTAACTTAAAACGACCGACTCCACCCCACTTCAAGACTCTCGAGGACCAAGAACAACCAGCCAGCCACGTGCTCAACAAAGAGAGCTTCTTCACATCACGGAGTAATGCAAGTAACACTTTAAGACTACATCTGAACTGGTATAAACTAAATGCAACCCTAAAGAGACAATGGAAGGGTTAATCTGATTATTTTTGGTACGCTTGGTTAGCTCTTACAAATTCCGAGGTTTTCATCATTACATTATCTCAACCTCTAACTTTACTTTCTGTACTCTTCTCACACTATGAAAGTGTGTTTGTATTAGGTATTAGTTTCTGTTAGATTAGTCAATAAAGTTTAATTTTGTATAAAGAAAGGTGCCTTGATCTTGATCTTGTTACCCTGCTTAAACATAAATGGGTTTTTATTTTCATAGCAATAGCCATTATAAATTCAACTGTCCATTCGAACGATCGCTGGACGATTAATTTGTTCGGATTCAAAGAGTCGATTCGTTTGAAGCTCCGTTGAACTGAAACTTATTCCCATTGAGCTAATCCGCTATATATAATGATGCAGATTATACAAGCAGTTGAATCTAGATTACAATTCGCTACATAAAATGATGAAGATATGCGGGCACATTAATCCAGATTATAACTCGCCACAGATAATGGTGGAGAATGCCTGGGAAGATTAACCTTGAGCTAATTTGCTACAAAACTTACAGTCGTTGTTATCATGATTATAACTATAAATTAAAATTTTATAAAAGTATACTAAATAAATACACTATAATATGACAACTATAGGGTGAAGCAGTGGCGCAGTAGGTAGTGCTGTTGCCTCACAGCAAGAAGGTCGCTGGTTCGATCCTCGGCTCAGTTGGCGTTTCTGTGTGGAGTTTGCATGTTCTCCCTGCGTTCGCGTGGGTTTCGTCCGGGTGCTCCGGTTTCTCCCACAGTCCAAAGACATGCGGTACAGGTGAATTGGGTAGGCTAAATTGTCCGTAATGTATGAATGTGTGTAAATGAGTGTTTGTGGATGTTGTGGATGGGTTGCGGCTGGAAGGGCATCCGTTGCGTAAAAATATGATGGATAAGTTGGCAGTTCATTCCGCTGTGATGACCCCAGATAATAAAGGGACTAAGCTGACAAGAAAATGAATGAATGACAACTATATGGTGAAAGTAATGCATTTTAGTTAAATGTAAAACTGCATTACCAATATTTACGCCTACAACTGCACCAAACTACAGTATCTTAATATTAATCAATGTGTCCCAAAATAATCCCCCATACATAACGTACTTATACACTAGTAGTTATTGTGTGCACTATGTACACAACCGCCTAGCATTAACTAAATTTACTTTATAAACTTTTTTTCTATTAAACATCAAAGTTTGATGAACCAGATGTTATTTTGACAGTGAAAAGCCAAAACAAAACGATAATCATAGTGGCATTTCCAACAATTACCATATCAGCGTCCAAAATGACAGACAGTAACATTATGTTTATTATACACATATGAAATTATGTAGTCTGCCATTTTTGCTGATTACATTAAATTAGAATGCCGTCTGATTGGCTGTCAGTGCTTTTCCAAAATAGGACAGTGATTCGAAAACAGTATATTCAAGCAGTGATTTGCCTTGTGATTGTTACAGATGTGGTGTGGAATCCTTTATAACTACAGAATTGAAGTGATTATTAAAACTTTTATTAATACTAACTTGGTAGAATGAGGGCTGTGTGAGCCAGTTATTCCAGTGCAGTAGATTGGCTGGAGGAGCCACAGTGGTGTTGTTAATAAGTGGCTGCCTCTCCCCAGGACTGGACCCATCCTCCTCCTGAAAGGGACGACCCTTCTCCCGCGTGCCCAAGTGAAACAGGAAGGTGAACACAGCTCCGATTCCCACTACGATAAGACTCAGATTCTGAGGGTGAAGAAATATTCCTGCATGAAGCTTATTAGAGGCATTAAGATCAGTGTATTATGACAATCTAGGTAAATGTCAACAGAAATCGAAAAGGCTAATCTATAAAAAAAAAAAAAACTTGTTCTCTATACACATTTAACAACAACACACCAGTTGCACAAGATGACAGATTTTGGTGTCTGCATCAGATTGACCTGAAAAAGGTATGAGTGTAAAATGGCATATTAAATGCCAGTTTTGAAATATGTAGACTTTCAACATCAAAATATAATGCAAAACAGGCAACCAGTGTAGCAGATATATTAATGTATAAAGGAAAAAAACATGTTCTGATTTGTACTAATTTAAGAAATATATATAAAATATAAAGTGATAAAAATAAAATGTTGCAACATGTGACCAAAGACTAAAAAATAAACAAGACATGTCACTCCTGTAGTTTTGAATGGGAAAAAGTGTATATGGTGAATGAAGCCCTGCCTAGCCTACTAGTATGGGAGCCAGTCATCAATCGCTATAGACTGACGTTTTTCTGGGGAAGAAACTCGGACGAGACGTGTGCTTTTATAACAGTCTGGTGGTCAACTAACGTGCTGGAATCTCAGCGAAATCTTGCTTCACAGACATAAGAAATATATACACATAAAGCTTCAAATCTGTACTTTTAAATGAAGCATTAAAAAACAAGTTTTTTGGTTTTGTAATCTGTATGAAATGAACATGAGGTACAGTCCATCCTGTCAAACGCACATCACATGACAGCAGCAACTACTCAAACACCCACAAACTTGTAAACAAAGGAGTCGCTGTCATTTCTGGAGGAGATTCCCCTTCAGACCAAGTTGTGAATTACTTCAAAAGACCAGCGCGATCAGACCAAGCATTATCTAGATGATGATAAAGTGTAGAATGGTTATAAATGAGGTTGGTGTCGTGACCTCGTTCCTTTCGAGTGTGCATGCGCATTAGCTTGGGCAACATAAAAACATGCCGTATTTGTTTGATTCGGACGCTTAGAAACTAAACTTATCAGACTGGTGTTGTTTAATTTTGTTGGTGATTCCAAATATGTCATGTAATTGTAAGCTTGGTAAAAAGTTGAGGAATTTGATGTTTCCCCATTCACCAAGAATGCCTAAGCATACTGCCTGAGAGGCCGCAGAGTGAAATGACTAGCCTTAAAAGAAACTTTGATGTGACCCTGGAGCACAAACTAAGTCTTATATTGCATAGGTATATTTGTAAGAATAGCTAATAACATACAGCAAGAAAAAATTATTGTTTTAAAAAAAATAAATAAATAAAGGATTAAATTTTCACCCATGAATATATCAAACTGAATTTTTGTTAAGTAATATTCATTGCTAACAACTTAATTTGGTCAACTTTCAAACCAATTTTCCCAAAATTTTGATTTTTTAACTTTAAGATTGCTGACTTTCAAATAGTTGTACAGTATCTTGGAAAAATATCATCCCATTATAACAAACCATTCATAGTCACATTTCAAATAATAATACAATGAAAGAAAAACTCTTGATAACAAATTTGCAAAACTGTGGAATTCAAATGCTGCAGTCAGCTTATCGATACCAATATTCTTCCCTTACGCTCAACAGAAACTCATTCAGGTGTGAATCAAATGAAAGCTGAATAAATAATAACAAAAACAGTAGTTGTGGGTGAACTACTCCTTTAAATGTAGATATACTGTAATGACCAAATGTTTAGTAGAGCACACTAAAAAAAGCTGAGCACTTACTCTGAAAACAGGGATGTCAACCGGACCGAGGTTATCCATAACAGCAGGATCATCTCCCTCTTGGAAATGAAACAGCAGCCATGCCACTGCATACACTGTGATGTTGGCTATCACTGTAAAGGCATACCTGACAGACACAATCAAAATATCATTAAACAAATACATCATTTCCTTCACTACAGGCAATGTCCTCCAAACCAGCATCACAAGAGCAGTTAATCATTACACACACAGAGGTGCATGACCTTACCTGTATGCAGTGAGCTCCACTTTCTCATGCTCACACGACACCAGCTCAGGAATGAGGGACAGATGGGAAATCTGGGTGGCCGCCCATCCAAACTGGAAGATGATGATGAAGGGGGCGAAATAGGTGACACTGACCCACTGTGGAGTGTTCAGATCACAGCCCAGGCACTGGTTAAATATGAAGGGGAATGATAGGAGCACGCTGATGGTCCCTAGATTGAAAAGAAAAGTATGTGAGGATGTATATCACATTTAATAAAATAGGTATAGTTTACACAGAAGTGTCAGTTTACTCTTTATTTACTTCCCCACGTGCAAAATATTTTTTTGAGTAGAACAATAAGGAGGATTTTAAGCTTCGATTGTGGTGCTTGTTGATTATAAAAATGCACGTATATGGCTACTGGCAATTTGATGGTCCACAAACTAGGCATGGACCCATTCTGACAGTATTATTCTGGATGCTGCAACTAATAGTAGCACACTAGCAAGATCAACTCACAGACTTGTAAACACACTTGTAAATATAAGACATTTTTGGGGAATAAAATAATGTTCACCTTCTTGCATAGACTGATCAATCACACCGCTTCTTAAGAAATCAATGTTTCATCAGGAGCCACAGGTAATAATTTTGTTTTGTCTGTATTTGTTCATTTTAATATTAAAGTGCAGGTAGCTGGTAATTTCTACATGACCAGAGGGTGAGTAAAAGAACAGGATTTTTGGGTGAACCCCGGAAAACACAGCATTCACCAAATACTTCCATGTGGTTTCTATGTGGGCTAATTTTTTAAAGAACCAAATAAGAAAACCCTGGAAGTGCTTACTGTATATAAAGCTTAGTAACAACTTGAAGAAACCCTAAAAGAGAACGTTCTGGTCCAAACCTAACGTTCTGGACAGAAGGCTTCCAGGCTAATAAACCGAGAACGTTCTTTGAATGAAAACAAAAATGGTTAGCTGGGACTATCTTTAAAAAGACTTCACTAAAAAAAGAAAAGAAACTTTGTCAGCATTAACTCATGAAGAATGTGCAACCAAAGCGATTTTTAGGTCCTTACATCCTACTTTTGAAGGTCTGAAATGGGAAAATATATTGCTGTTGCTGACTCTCTCTTTAAAGGGATAAATCATCCAGAGATGAAAATTAAATCCCCTCAAATAGTTCCAAACATTTATGATTTTCTTTCTTCTGTTAAACACAAAATAAGTTAATTTAAAGAAAGCTGAAAACCTGAAACACAAATACTACGAAAATCAATGTTTACAGGTTTCCAAACATTCTTTAAAGTATCTTCTTTTATGTTTAACAAGAAAAAAAGCCCACAAATGTTTTGAACCGCCTCAGTTTGAGAGTAACTGCCGAGTAAACTATCATTTTAGGGTGAACTATCCCTTTAAGTACGACGTCACTCACCGACTAGATGCCATGTCTTCCTCTTTCCGTAGGAGCCGCAGCCGGGCGTCCGGTCAGACTCGTAGCCGATGAGCGGTGTACAAACCCCGTCTGCTATCTGCCCCACTAGTAGTAGCACACCCGCGTATGTGTTCTCAAAGCCGAGCACTGAGTGGTAAAACACCAGCAGGTATGTAAACCACATAGAGGCGCACAGGTCGTTGAGAAAATGCCCAACTGAGTAACTCAAGCGCCTGATTACGGGCAGAGAAGCTTCGGAGGAGTCCTGCATGATGAAGGCGACACTCTGAACCCCCGGCCAGCTAAAAATGTATATTCCCTTTAATCCAGCTCAGCATATTGTGTCCTCTCCGGCTTCCTCCTCGCCGCAGGGACAGCAATAACGAGTCTGTGTGAAGTTCAAGGCTCTGGGTCCCTCATTTTCTGTACCTGCCGTCAGATGCTCTGGATTTTTGGTCAGCTGACTTGTAAATGTGTGACGATGGAGGAGGCGCGAACTAACATTTCAGCACTCGCTTTGATCAGTTGACAGCTAGCTTCGCTTTTTAAATCTCTGGTGAGTTATATGCAGCGATGGAGTCACATCCGATGTAAATATTGTATAAAAAATATCCAAATGAAAAAGGTTATCGACTTGATTCGTTTTTGCTGAAAGCACGTGACCAATGACGCGCGATGTTTTGTTCGTCTGATAACACGTGACCGCTTCAACGCGTGTGCGGTTCAAAAGGAGCGGGATCAGGGTTATACATTAGTGTCTAATTTTTGATGGCTTATCCATTTTTTAAATATTTAATATGAAGCCCAATACAACACATATAACATATAGTTACAGGCATGACTATACAGTTTAAATTAAATTCTTCGACTGACTTTTTTAATATTTAAAATCGTTAATATTTAAGATCTAAAAAAAACTACATTGATTTTATGTATTAAGATTGTATCACATGACTAGCTACAGTGGGGAAAATAAACAATGCAGCTCTAAAACAGGCCCGTAGCCAGCCTAGACAGGGGTGGTTCTTTTTTTCTTAAAAAGTGGACCTTTTTGCAGTTATTCGACTCATTTTCTATTTAAATGTGAGATTTAAACACTGCATTTTAAGCTCTTTTTTGCTGAATTAGCTTTTCGGATGGTTACACTTTTCTAGCTTTTCTTGTAAAAAAAAAGTACATTTAAAAATGTATGGATAACAACAAAAGCTCAAGTATTAAAATGGGCTTTTATTTCTTACGAGGTCCAAGATTTAGAAGTTTAAAAGAAGTTACTTATACTATATCTACTTCTCTATAACAACAATACAGTGAAAGCTTGGTTTAAAAGCCTTGTTCGATGAGTTATTTTGATAATTTATGATGGCATAACAGTCCAAATTTGAACCACCCGAAACCCCCCTGGCTACAGGCCTGTGAAAGACAATACATTGTCTAATCCAATTATGTAATCTCCAGTTTTCTATCTTATAGATGTCATTGACCTCAAAATATGAATAAATTAATAATTATTTGGAAATTTATTAGTTAAATCTGCCAATTGTAGTACTGTCTTCATGTCCATATCTTAAAATAGCATTAGTGTTTATTTTTTTAGATTATTTTATATTTTTTATATTTTTCAATATGTAATGTGAAACCCAAAATAAAACATATAAAATATAATCAGAAGCATTACTATAAATCTGAAATTCTACCGGCACTAAAATTCTTAGATTTTTATCTTTTAATGAAATAAAGTCAGTTTTTCAGCATGATCTGGCAAAACTGCAGCCATACATTCACTGAATCATAAATGTGAAGATGAAGTACATCGGAGGTGGGCTATTTTAAATGATTGTAATCTGTGACATGTCTAGTACAGTGGAATATTAAAACATTATGCAGCAGGATTATTAATTGCCGAAACAACCACACATAAAAGACAATACATTGTCTAAGCATGTAGTTTCCAGTTTTCTGTCTTTTAGATGTCATCGGCTTCAAAATAGGAACAAAGAAATTATTTGGAAACTATTTAGTTCGATTTAGTAATTTAAAATAAAGTTCTACCAATTGTACCATTTTCATTTCCATTTCTTAACATTTTTATTAATAATTTTATCATTTACTACTTTGTTTCATTAAAATTAATTTGATTATTATATCACATTTTTCTATTTATTATAATTTTCAGATATTCTAGATATTTATTTTATATTTATCTTAAAATATTTTAATTCTGTTTTCATTTTATGAATCAAAGCATTGATAATTAATGTTTATATTTTCAAACCCTTATACCCTCCACCTGTGGAATGACTTTTCTCTTCATATATTTCTCTCTGTCTAACTTGAAACAGAAGTGCTACACCAAACTTTTATTCATACCCATGAAGACCAATACTATTCTCACATTTACTACTAAAAACGCCATAATATTTTATAAAGAACACTTTTGTCTAGTTCATACTTTTTCTAGTAAAACACTAAAATACACAGTAATAAAAAAATAAGACTTAGTTCTCACTTCATATCAAGTAAATCTCGAACAGATAGTTTACAAATGGTTAAAAGCAGCTGCTCAAAAACAGCCCATTCATCTTTCCTCTCAGTCTGCACTAAAGCGGTTAATTATTAAATAAATCACAGGATGTCACAACTGACTGGTTCTACATTACCTACAAGAAAAGTAAAGTAATTTGAAAGTGTAAAAATATACTGTTTTATCACTATACAGTAAAAACTACAAGAGCGTATAGCCACCTGCTCTTATGTCATTCCAATACTGAATTGTATTACGCAGCTTATGTGCAAAAAAAGCCACAAGTGACCTCTGGCACCACATCCTGGCGAATCACAGCAAGCGCCTCTATATTATCACATGATTTCTCATGTTGCTTAAATAATACCCAAAATTACCCACAGACACAACATGTACCATCTTATGAGGCATAGAAGAAAAGCAACATTTAATAGGTATGTAAATCAATACACATCCTCACTCTGATAGGCAACCTCTGTTACTGCGTATAAACCCACAGACTCGCGCAGTCATGGAGCTTTGCTATGATACACTTTACAACAGTGAAAAAGAAATCTGAGAAATGCCAACAGACTCAAAAGACTGGCATGGAGCGCAGAACAAACCATCTGAGAGGGCCATGGACGCCTCACCTGGATAGGAATCGTAGAGAGGGACACGTTAGTGTTAAATGTTTACTTGGAAAGGCACAAACTATGATTCCCAGGTAACATAATCTAATGCGAAAAACAACAAAAGCACAAGTTTGACTGAGAGAATCACTTTCGTCCCTTTGGGAGAGACCAGCCTGCTGTGTAAATGATCCCACGTCTTGCTTTTATTCCCATTCATTTCAATGGCATAACGGTTTGCTTTTTTTTTGTTTTGTTTTTTTCCTCCCTAAAAGTGCAATTCACAGAGGAGAGGTAATGATTTTGTTTCTCTCCATCTCCCACAGTACCTGAGACCAGCCACTGTGTACAACCTCCTCATCGACAGGAAAAAACAAGGAAGTAAAAAAAAAAGAGAGAGAGAAAATAAACACTAGGAGCGGGTTAAAAAAAAAAAAAAGTTCACACTTTCTACAACATAAGTAAAACTGTTCAATTCAAGGAGAGCAAATCTTCAAAACAACTTCTTAAATTACAAAAATAAAATGAGAGAAAAAAGGAAAGACAATTTACACAATTGGTTTGTCTGATTCCGATGTACATTTCTCCATACGTCAGTCTTTCCTCACAGATTTTGATCCCATTATAATAATAAAAAAAATAAGAAAAGAAAACACCATGGAGCACATTACTCACTCACTCATCCAGCCAGTGTGTCGAGGTGAACAGATGTCTGTGTGTGTACGTGTATGCGAGTCTGCTTGCCTTTAAATTCTCAAATAATGGTTTTCTAAAATACAAGTTTAAACAGTCCATCTGGGTTTAAGTCACATAACGTATATATCTTGTCTTATATCTGACCACTGAAGTCTCCTCTGGTGTCCCACATTGTACAAATATATGTATTTGTTCCACTGAATTGTTTCTTTAGAAAGAGTGTCAGAGTACTGAGGTGAGTCTCTCTGAGTGGATGCCGAAAGTGAGGCAGTGACTTTCTGTTCTGAAGTAGAGCAGAGACAGAAAGGGAGGGAGTTGCTCCACGTTTCAGCTCGAGTCCTTTGCTTTAGTTTTTTTTTTTCTTTTTAGTTTTTCTTTAAACGCACCAGTGACTTTAACGTTTCAAAGATGTTCCTCCTCACTTGTGCCGCTGGAGCGCTTTCCTCTTCCTCCTCTTGAAAAAACAACAGCACCTGAAACAAGTGAATGAGTTGAGAATGCAACATCGTCCTTCGAAATTTTGTCACACAGTCAAGGTTTGGTTTTACAACACTGGATGTCTACTAAAGTTAGTATGAGATCACTGCAGCTGCACAGTGTAGCTGGTGCTTATGTAGCCTGACATTTTAGGAAACAAAAATGCTGCTTTGACTCACTGAAACCAACAGCAAATGAAGTTGCCGAACATTTCCCCAACCTTCCCATAATATCATCTACAAATATTATAGAGATAACTATTGCTGTGTGATTAATCGAAATCGAATCGTAATCTGAAATGTTACGATTAGCCAAATCGCAAAAGGCTATGATCTGATATATATATATGGATTATATAAATTAACCCACCCAGAGCAAATGCAAGACTGCCGTCTGTGTGTGACAGTCTTACTAGTCAATTGAGTGAGCACACTTTTGTTCTGCCCAATCAGAATTGTGCAATTGAACTATGTGGAATGCCCACAATAAAACAAACAGGAAAGCGCGGACAAGTGGGATGATGGCGTGTGCCACTTCAGAGGCATTAACAGACAAATTCATATTTAAAAAAAAAAACGGCAAGTCTGTAATATGGGAATATTTCGATTTCAAAGTCACAGACACTAAATAAAAACGAGTAATTCGTAAGAGCTGTCGCAGAACTGTTCTCACAGCCCGAGAAAAAACAAAAGCCAGCACCTAAAAAAGCACCACAGGCGGGTGTATGACGAGTGTTCTGCTAAAATGTAAACTAAAAGTATTGCAAGTGACACTCAATCTAGTAGCTAGCAACAGCAAAGTGCAATTTCAGAGTTGTTTGTAGCTGTTATACCATGTGAAAAAACATCACGAAGGCACCAGGAGATAACTGACGCCATAACTCACTACTGTTTGCTGTAGAAAAAAATGTGTTTATTTCTGAATATTTATAAACAAATCTGAATAGGACTTGATCTTTTCAGTTCCCTTTTTACTAACACTCACTGCATTTTAGCAGTAAGAAGCTATGATACAGAATATTGAGCTGAAGTTTGACTACAAAATTAAATTGCAAATCAAATCAAAATCGCAATATCTGTTAAAAAATTAGATATTAGATATTGTCCCCCAAATCGCACAGCCCTAGAGACAACTATAGATGGTAGATTGGCAGAGTGTAGTTTAACCTTGGCATGTATTTACATTAGCAGTTGTCTTTGTTTGTATGGACCAAAAAAAAAAAAAGTTATCAAAAATTTGGAAACAGTAAGATGTATTTTTACTGTATTTCTCATTAAATAAATAAGCAAAATTGGCTTCTTTTAAAACATGAACAACATGTTTTAAAACAAGGGTGCCCAAACTTGGTCCTGGAGGAACAGTGTCCTGCAGAGTTTAGTTCCAACTTCCCTCAACAAACCTGCCAGGATGTTTCTAGCAAGCCCAGTAAAAGCTTGATTGGGATTAGAGGTAAACTATGCAGGACAATAGCC